TGAAACATGCTGAAAGCGTATCAGCATATCATCCCAATATCTGTGCATCTACTTTCACACAGAGGCTGTATTTACTCTCTATGTGAGCGTAGAGGCCTCTATGTTCCTCAATGGATATGCCTCCACAGACCATCATGAACGCAACACCAAATCAGTTGTGCTAAACAATGTTACAGGCAGCACAACATTTTCCAGTGTCTATCATTCGTGCTTTGGGTGAACTGCTCTCATCCGTGAAAAGGAGAGACCTACCAGTTCTGGTATTCTATAGCTAATCCCAATCGGGCACCACAGCGCAGGGCAGTGAGCACAGCCCTCAGCGGAGGACGTCAGCCCCTCAGGCCACCCTTATGAGTCTGTTTCTGACTGTTTGGTCAGAGACACTCACACCAGAGGCCTGCTGGCTGTCAAATAACTAAAATTTAATGACAGATTTGATTTAAAATAGCATCTTACAAAGCAGTGCCAATCAAGCATGAACTGTCACTTGTAGGAGCTTTAAAAAAAAAAAAAGTAACAACAAGACAACAAACAGAGGCTATTTTTAAAATGGGTGCTAATGAAGGAACTCCTGTACATAAAAGACACTACAACAAAACAAAAAAACAACTCACCTCTAGCAGCCTTTTAGTCTCACTAAAAGACTTCTCTAATGTCTCCATCCTGTGCATTTTAGCTCTGAGTGTATCTAGTTGACCCCGCAGCTCCCTGACCTGCTCCTCTCTGAGCGGGTCAGCCTGTCGGGGCTCCCCCTCCAGGGAGGCGACCTGCCTCTGGGTGTTATCCACCTGCTCCCTTAAGAGCAGAATGTTCTGACTGTACCTGCAGACAATAAACAAGGAAAATAAAACTTCAGAGTAGTATTTTTCACTCATTCTTTTATTACTGGGTACATTTGTTTCTTATCTTGCTGTTACTCTGGCTTACATTTGCAAGTTGTCAAAGTCACGGGTAGCACTGGAGCCATCTGAAGGTCGTTCTGCTTGACGGTCATCTCTGCCAGGTCTGGTTCCCTCTGGCTTTATGTGACTGAGTCGCTGCTGACCTTTTAGCGGAGATAAAGGGCAGGGCACTGCCAAGGACTTGTCTGCAGAAGAGCAGCGGTAGAGTTTGGGCTTCGAGGTAGATGGCTCCACTTCTTCCATGGTCAATTTCCTCTTGGGCTTCTTGGATATGTGGGCAGATTTTGAAGTTACTCGCTCTACCAGTTTCTTTGCCAGGAAGCGTTTAATGTCTCTGAGGGGCTTCTGGACGACGACATAGTCAAACTCTGCTTTGTTTCCAATTACAGGAACTCCGAGCTGTATGGAGTCTCCGAGCCTGACCGGATGGGCTTCATCGGAAGGCAGACGAGTTCCATTCACCCAAACACCATTAAGACTCTGAGGGGAAAAAAACAGAACCAAAATAATACACTGGTACAGAAACATATTTAAAACTGAATTAACTTGAGAATTTAAATGTACTTTAAAGTCACAAATGCCCAAACTTAAGCTCAGACATATTGCCATTTGCTGGAAATAACAGGACTGTAAAAAGGCATCTATGGATAAATACAAACTCATCACACGGCTGAAAGGCCACACATGCAAATATTAAGTGACCCACTAAATTTCATGGACTTTGTAGCATCTGGTATGACCCAGAGCCGTATCCCAGCTGGGAGACAGGAGTCATTTTCATGTGGTGGCATGACAGAGGTGGTCAACAGATGTCACGAAGGTACCGTGGATTGTTTGTAGTCCATGTGTCTTGTACGGGATGTTCGCACAACAAGCCTACACTACTTAAACATCCTGTCTCCAAGACATTTACACATGGTGGAGAGTAAACTGTTTAAGGATATTTCCTCACACCGAAACAATTTCAGGAGCCGTCTCAGCAGGTGATTCCACTCCTTCGTGTCCAGGACACTGAAACTCTTTTCAAACATGCAACATTTTACAATGATGTCATTCTGCCGTTCAGACTGTAGGTCATGTCCACGTTAACGTTCCCCACCACAGCTTCATTCAGAGACACATACAAAAGGGATGGGCGACAGAGCAGTTACTAATTTTTGTACATGAGATTACCAAAGACTACATAGTTGAGTTCAGAAAGCAAAATGAAAGCAAGTATGAAAGACAGAGATTTATTCATGAACTGCACGCGGATAGGCTGAGGCTGAAATGGAACAAACCGACAGGTGTTACAACCGAGAGCTTACAGAGAGAAATTTTGGACTTTTTAAGCAGATCCCAGATAAAGACACTGAAATGAACCCATAACTGGAACTGGTATTTTTCCATTGTATTGTACACCAGGATGTGTTGCATAAGTCAGTGCTAAAAATGAACACATTACTGATGCTTGTTGCACTTTTGATTCCCTACTGCAGAGAACTTCGAGTCAGTATCAGCGCTGGATTTGAATTCTTCTCTCAAAAAGGAGAACTTTCAACACATAAGGAGGCATGCACAGAAGATGTTGGTCCTCTTTGAATCTAACTTCATACGTAAACAGACATTCTTATTAATGAAGTTTATCAAATCCCACCTTAGTGCTGACAGTGAACCGGACTTTAACACACTTGTTAAAGGCCAAAACAGACTAGATTTCATTCACGAGTAAGGAAGAAAAAGACAAAACTGCAGATGAAGAAATTTACACTACAAGTAAAATACCATAGCATGGAAAGTTTGCATAAGGATGCACACTGTCTTAACAATCTTTGGGGAAATGTTCATTAAATAGCAATGATAAAATATTGGCAGTTTAACTTAATCTATTTCACATTTTCAATGCCTAACATCTAATGTGATTTGATGTTGCTGTTGAAGGTCCTGAACCTTTGGCCTTCTGCATTTTAGTATACCTCAGAACATAAAACAGTATATGATTAGTATGGTATTGATGTTCACCTTTCATCTCATGTTTCTAGAGTTATAAGGGTTTGAAACTTTTGCTATTTGTGTATGTATAATTTGTGGTATCTGTTGCACAGTTTGACTTGTTGCAATACTTATTTTGCCGTTATTATATAAAGATGTGCGTGACAGATAAATACCACGAAAAGATTTACAGAATAACATAAACTTCCTACAACACAAATGGGCAAAATTGGCATTCCCTGACATCCTTTTTTTGTGATGAACACATAAATACATAGAAAAGTTGACAATGCTGATGCTCAAGTGTATTTATGGCTTTATGTCACAGTAAACCAGACTGACTCAAAACTTCACCAAATGCCAACATAATACTGGTGGGTTTTAAAACATGAACCCATTCTTAGCTTTTAGATATTCGCACACTAATTGGGTTTGGCATAATTTAGTAATATGCGCATCATGTTTTAATTTCGTGTGGCTCTATTTATTTTATCCACGTCAGCATGCCTCCCTTAGAGAAAGTGCTGCCCATCCCTGCACAGGACTTGTACCAAAGACCTCTAGCACAGCTGTAAAATATATTTCACAATAAAGCTCGTTGTCACCTTCTTGTCTGTCACTGTCCAGTGGCCGTCTTCACTTTGCCTGAAAGTGCAGTGCAGTCTGGAGATCATTAGGGGACAGGTGGGAGACAGTAGTTGGTAGGTTACATCCACACCACGTCCAATGGTGATCTGCACAGCCAAAAATAAACATGTTAGTTAGCTCCAGTCTGCATCTCCGGTTTTATAAAAACGGACAGGGACACTCTTCAGCTTAAAACACTTCTTAATTATTAACCATAAATTGGGGGTAATGTTCCCCCAACATGTAAACTGGAATCTGCCGTGAACTTCAGCAAGCTTCATGTTAGTATAAATATAGCACGTTAGCTAACATTAGCAAGCTGCACCTCTGTGTTTTCGAACAAGCGAAGCCAGTCTGAGTTCCTCCCGACTCTCATCAGACAAAAAACCTCCGAGTCCGGATATTCATCGTCTTCAGCCGCACAGCAATCCGCCGCCGTCTCTTTATCCATCTTATCTCATTCTGTCAGCGGCCAAGTCGTCCGAAAGGACACCACTAGCTGCGCTGTTTCAGCTCCTCCGCCACATCCCGACATACTGGGAGAAACCGGAAGACATTTCGATTTCTTTCAAAATAAAGGCCACAGATGTGCTTCAACGCTTATCTTTGGACAGCCCATGAATCACTTGGATCCCTCTAAAATCATTTAGTTGTTTTTTTTTATTAATTCAAAATTTATTCAGCTTTTGCAGACCCAAAGTAGAAATATTACGGTGTCCATGAACATATTACAGTAGGGAGAAAACAAGACGTAGAGTTTTACGTGCGGGAAACGTTTCGTCACTCATTCAAGTAACTTCTATCTTAGCTGACTGCAGGTTTCATTCTAAACAGTGTATTCACATAATGCGAATATACTGTTTATAGAGTTGCTAATAAGGTCTAGGATTTCATTGCCTGCATGACTGAGCAACCATCAAGACAAATAAATAAATAAATAAATAAATAAATAAATAAATAAATAAATGAAATAACACTTTTAAATTTTATAATAAAAGGTAATCATGTGGACCCTGTTAGTGTTGTAATAACACATGTTTAACTTGAAACCTTTTAATTATTCCTACATATAATAAGTTTGTGTTCGTTAGCTTGCATTTTGTATTGCCTTAAGACACTGTAGACGTCTATGATTTCTCTTGTTTTGATCGCTTGGTAAGCACATTGAGTATAAGTGTAAAGAATGGTGCTATATAAATAAAACAGTCACAATCATATTGTATTTTATTATAAATATTATTTGGGGGGTTTTCGTTGGAGCTTGTGTTTACTGTTTTTTAAAATTCAAAACAGTGTAGTGAAAGATCCTTATACCTAAAAAGAAAAGAAAAAAATAAAATAAAAAGTGGAGAATACATAAAAAAACAAAACAACCCCAAACAGCCAAACATGAACACTGTTACTTTGCAGTATTTTAACTGTAGTACTGCTTCATAGCTGTTGCTGGTGTATACAGTTGTTAAAAATCCCTGCACCTTTAAATAAAATAGCTCTTCTTTCTCCCCGCAGCACTCAAACCTCAAACGCGCCGCGGTGCTCTTCGCCCATTCGGGCGACCCCGAGTCCCGAAACGCGCGCACCCCGAGCTCCAGGCGGGACTTCCTTTCTCCTGCGGATGCGCTGATATTAGGGTGAGCAGGCAGAAAGGGCTTGGTCGGAGTGTCACCGGTCTATCCGCGCGCCTCTGGACAGCAGATGACCTGGCCGACGACTCCGCTGCCGCTGAAGCCCCGTAGATGAATCTCCTCCTCGGCTATGCTGCCCTGAGAGCGCCGCGAGTATCCGCCCCGCCAACATGTCTGATGTCAACAAGACTATTCAGAAATGGCACGCCAGTTTTAAGAAAGGCACAGACTTTGACTCGTGGGGACAATTAGTGGAGGCTATAGATGAGTACCAAATGTAAGTTGCATTCAACATGTGTGTCCTGTGTGTCCACAGCGCTGGTTTAACCCGAACGCAGTCCGGGCGCTGTGCTTCTTCTTCTTCTTTTTTTTAATTATTATTTTTCCCTTCTCTGGGTCGCCTGTCCCTAAAATCTGCGGGGAAACATGTAGGAGACAGTAGGTGCAAGAAGTTAGCCCGTGTGCTGTCAGTCAGCTCTCGGAGCAGTAAATAAACCCTACCATCCATGACGTGATGTGGCAGTTGTTGCAGTGGGGAGCAGATGTGTTGCCTGATGCATCCTAGCTCTGTCCACAGCAGCACTTTAGAGTTTAAGGGAGAGTCCGTCCATGTAGCCTGTCATGGAAAATCGGTCGGAGCTGCGAGCAGTCTGTTTCATTATGTGTCATGCAATGCAGAAACGGGCCAGTATTCCTCAGAGTGTTGGGAAACAGTCAGCCACACCCTCTCATTGTTATGGGTGGGTTTCATCTGCTGAGTGAGGAATGGTTTCTGCTTCTCAGACCAGATCTTTGTCTTTGCAATTTCCTTAAAATGCGCCCAGCTTCTCTCCCAGTTAATAGTTTATTTAAAACTGCACTAACAATGCAAAAATCTAGATCACTGCAGCGGCTTCTACTGTCCGCAGGGGGGCGCACAGACACACACCTTACCTTATAGGAGTCTTGCAGGGTCTTGCAGTGAATCATTAACGCGTCTAACTGTGTTTCATGTGGGTTCGTTTAGTTTGGCAAGACAACTGCAAAAAGAAGTCCAGTCAGCAAATTCATCAGACTTCACCGAAGAGCAGAAGGTAATCATTACATCCGCCTGCAGCTTCTGCACCGGAGTGCCTGTCACTTTACTTAAACTAACGAGTGTTTTTTTTTCTTTCTTTTAAAGAAAACTCTGGCAAAGATTGCAACATGTCTGGAGATGAGAAGTGCCAGTTTGCAGGTTTGTATAGGAGTCTGCGTGATTAGTAGCTACAAAAAGGAGGCCGTATCCAGGTTTTCAGAGATGCTGAGGTCATCGTTATTATATAAAAGTAAAATTTGAGCATCGGCAGTTTTACTTATGCATATAACACTTTTGAAAGTGGTCTTGAGCAATAGTTTTCCAGGCTTTCTGAAGGTCTTTCAAAGTTTGTCTTTGGACATTGGCCAATGGTCAGGTCCACTCCTTGTACCTGACCATTTCCAAAGGGAAGTTTTTCCTTGTTAAGTCACTTAACACTAACCAGTGACTCATTCAAGCATAAAAAGGCACCTAATTCAAGGGGTAAAACGGTCTTGTATCTACACATAACAGGCAACTTAGCAAATAAATGATTTAAAATGTTATCTTTAGACACTTTGAGTTTTAAAAGGCATAAAATTGTGATTGTTGGACTAAGTGATTCCCAAAGAGCTATAACTGAAAAGGTGTCCTTAAAATAAGATAAGGAAAAGTGTCAAGTATAGAAGAAAAGAAGTGAGAGGCCTAAAATACAAAACAGTACTTCAAAGCCTTAAGAAACCAGAAAAAATCCATCAAAAACCTGACACATGGACCTGAGAGATCCATCTGACCCTTCAGCTGAGCCATGTACTGTTCAACAAAGCCTCATCAGAAATGGTCTCAGTGGAAGGGTGGCTGTCAGGAAGGCGTTCTTAAGGAAAGGAAACTGGGAGGAAAGGCTGAGGGATGCCAAATTAAACAAGAACTGGACTCGAAATCAGTGCCAAAAGGTTTTATGGAGTGATGAATCCAAGTTTGACATTTTTGGTTCAAATCATCATCGGTAAGTATAGAAGGGGTCAGGAGAGAGGTGTAGCGGTGGGTGTCTACACCCATCTGTAAAACCTTGTAATGATTTGGGGCTGCGTTTCTGCCAGTGTGCATTAGGGATCTTGTTAAAATCGATGGAATAAGAACACAGAAAAGTACAATCAGATTCTGGTCCGTCCAGAAAGTGTTTGATAATGGCGTTATTTTTCTGCCCAAACACACTGCCAATGCAGGAAAAGTATTCCTGAATAGAGAAACACACAAAGAGTCACTGTCAGTCGTGGATTGACCTCCCCTGAGCCTGAACCTCAACATTAATGTGAGATAAGTGTGAGATCGTCTCACATTGAACAGAAGACGACCAACTTCCAAGAAAGAGCTGTAAATGTCATTCAAGAAGCCTGGAGAGCTGTTTCTGAAGACTACCTAAAGAAACCATAAGAAAGCTTGACTAAGAGACGTCAGTTCATGATGAATAAAAGTGATCATAAATCTTGGCTTTCAAGCTCGTTAGAGTTGTTTTTGCCTTGTATGCTGTATGTTTACACACTTTTCTATTTCCCATTATGAATAAATTAGGGGTGGCTCAAGACTTTTGCACAGCGCTGCAAAAAATTACATTTTTTCCTGAGGAAAAACAAATACTGAACATATCTTTTGTCTGGGTTTCTTCAGTGCACTCAGTCAAAGGAAGAGTTCAACTTAGAAGACCTGAAGAAACTGGAAACCAGTAAGTGTATGACTGGGTTTTTTCCTGGCTCGAAATGGGCCTCTAAGGGGCGACTCTGCAGAAAAACATGATTGATGTGTGTACAGTAAAGGTGCTGAAACTGTGTGGCCTTATTTGACAGAACTCTACATGCATTTCTGGGCATTTTGCAAACAAATGTTTATTACACTTTAGTAAATGAAAGACGAATTTAAAATGTTGATCTGGTGATTTTTCTTTTTTCCTTTTGCTCTGGCCTGTGGAAACAATTTCTCTATGAAGGAAAAACACTGATGGACAATTTACTGGATATTCTGACATGTTTTAATAGTGATATAATCAACCTAACTCCTTTTTCTTCAACAGTAATTAGAAATGTACTCACCTACAACAAAGAGTTTCCATTCGATGTTCAGCCGGTGCCGTTAAGGTAAAAATCCATCACTGGTGTTATTACTGCTTTGGGCTCGTGCTGCATGTGTCATTGTCTCTCAACATTACTGGATTTACAGATTTTTGTGAATTAATACAATAAAAGAATAACTAATAGATCAACATGAGTCATGTAATCACACACAAGCGTTGATAATTTTATCTTCAGGTCTCTAAAAAAAAAGTGTGTCTGTGAAGGGGGGCACACGCTTTAAATATTTTCCTTACAGGGATATGTAAACTTTATCAGTCCAATGAATCAGGTGTTTTGGGGGGGCGGGTTTGTGTTCCTTGCCATCAGGAAAATCTTTGCTCCAGGTGAAGAGGAGAACCTCGAGCTGGAAGAGGAGGAGGATGCCACAGCGGGAGCAGGTTCAACAGAAGCTTTTCCGCCACGGGCTCCTGGTGCGTTACACCTGTTTATCACCCGCTTGAGTTCACATGTCATTGTTACATGTTGTCGTGTTTTGGAGGATCATCTGACCGTGTGTGTTTGCTTTTTTTTTTGTCTTTTCTGTTGGTGCCGTGCATGGCTTCACCGCTCATTCCCGCCTGCTTCATTAGCAGCTTTGCAAGGTACAGCTTATGAATGAAAGGCGTTTGAATCTGTCCTCTATTGCATGACTGTGAATAATCCTGCCTCATTCAGAGTTAATTTTAGAACTAGATGCGTATATGTGACTGGAAGGTGAAGTTAATGATTCACTCTTTCACCAACAGAAAGCTTTTCCACTGATCAAGGTAGCCTGATTCCATCAGCTTTGGCCAAACAGATTTTTTTTCAGAGCTCATTTATTAAAATCAGAAATATTTCCTTTATTAGAGTTAAGTACTTTATGGTAAATGTGATGATTTGGCTCTGAGATCATTTCTGTCCTCAGAGGATGTGTTATACCCAACCTAACATCTCCTTGTTCCATCATCATTCCAAAGTGAGGTTTCGAAAACTCTAAATATACAGTTGTGGTCAGACGTTTATACATAGTCATCATGGGCATGAATGTCATGGTAATTTTGGGCTTTTAATAATTTCTTTGACCTGTTATTTTTCCAGGGTGGATGGATTGTACAGCATGCAGCTTTAGTGACTTTAAAAAAAGCAAGATTTGCTTGCACAAATTTTTATTTATTTGGTATTTTGTCGAATCCACACAGGGTCCATGCACCTACAATGACATTTTGTTAAATGTCCCTTAAGTTGCACCTTAAGCAGACGCTTTTGGTAACCACCAAGAAGCTTCTGGCATAATTCTAATTGGATATTTGAACACTCTTCTCAGCAGAATTAGTAGAGTTTATTTAAATTGCTTGATTTCCTGGAGGAGAGCTGGCTTTTAAGCGTAGTCCAAAAATAGGGAAGTTTATTTTAAGGGCTTAATGTTAGCCTGCTTCCCATTTTCCTAGTTTTGATTTGCATTTGGGAACATTGTCCTGTTGGAACACCCAACTGTGACAAAGTTTCAACCGTCTAGCTGCTGATTTGAGGTTAGATGGAAGGATTTGGAGGCCCTAGCGCGTGATGCTCGACAGTCGGTACAATTTTCTTTGGTTTGAAAGCCTCACCGTTACGACCCCAAACATACCTCTTGTCATTGTGGCCAAATAACTCAATCTCTGTCTCGTCTGACCATAACAGTTTTCTCCAGAAGGCATTTGGCTTGTTCATGTGGTGCAAATTTCAGTTGTGGGTTTTGGAGCAGGAGCTTCTTTCTTGGTCAGCATCGTCTCAGTCTATGATGATTGTGTCACCGTGGACAGAGATGCTGGTGTTTCAGACGTTTCCAGTTCATGTGAAGTTTGCGCCTCATTGGTTCCTGGTTTTAAGTTGTTTGATCCAGGAATCTGCAGTTGTTTAGAAATTTCTCCAAGAGACCTTCTTAACTTGATCAATCTAATGAGTCCCGTCAAACAAATCTTTGTTTTATGCCGGCAAAGATTTTCTGCTAGTTGTAGTCAATAACAACTGCTAACGAGAAGTTAGAAGGCCTCAGCCTTGCTAAGTTAAAAGACATTGTTGATTGTATGCGGATGTATGTATAGATTTGAGCCTGTTTGTATACCTTTGACCCTATGGAGATGAGAAAAAAATGCAAAATATATTAAAACTTGTGTTAGTAAAGCTGTATGCTGCACTATTATTCTATCCTGGAAAAAACAGTTCACAGAAACTATTAAAAAGCCAAAAAACTACCACGGCATTCATGCCCATGATGAGTGTGTGAGAGTCATTGATGACCTTTTCTAAAAGTGTTCACATAGGATGCTGCGAAATTTGATCCAACAGAAAAGAAGCACAATAAATTCTGTGTCCAATTTAATCATAATGAAACCAAAAGTACGTGAGATTCTCGGGATGGGGGCGAATAGAGGAACCCATATTTTTGTGCTTACAATAGCTCAAACTATATATAAATGTGAGTAATGTACAAGGAGCAGCAGACTTCTTGGCTCAAATCCCAGCAATTACTTGCAGCCCCAATTTTAAATGAGCCTTAACTTTGATTTAAGTAGTCACAAGGGCTTAAAACACATGTGCAGGACTGCCAGTCAGATCCATTAAACTCCACAGTGTACGGTGGGAAACTTTGCCCCCAAATTAGGGTCAAAACGACAACATAATTTGGTCACGTGTTTCCTATTTCCACTGTTGATTGGCTCGTTGGCTGTGTTGTATTCCCTTCTGTTTTAATGTGTCTTTATCTTCTTTCAGATGATGGTTTTTGGTTCACAGCTACAGCTTTGATATTTTTTTGGTTCACTTTATTTCCTCTCGCCAGCTTTGTTTCCTGCTGTAGTTCAAACTTTATTTAGCTAAAGAGATTTAAACCTCTGTAAACTAACTTTTTACTGGCAAACTGCCTGTAGACAAAGCCCCAAAGACAGATATCCATCAGGAAGTGATAGGGACTTAAAGGAGAATGGATTAAACGCATCATTCCTATGGATTGATCAAAATGTGTAAAACTGGTTTGCCAAAATCCCCAACTTGAAACCAGTTTTTAAAACCAGTTCTAACTGCTAATATCTTCTGACCTTTGTCCTTTTATAGGTACCTTGTTACCACGGCTACCCTCAGAGCCTGGGATGACGCTACTTACAATAAGGATTGAAAAAATTGGGTTAAAGGACGCCGGACAGTGCATTGATCCTTACATGACCATCAGTGTCAAAGGTACAGATCCCACAGTGCACGCCTTCAGCAGGCTGGCCTGGAGTTGCTTTTATAACCTTCACAGCTGCTGCTTTCAGATTGGACACACCCTCTTTTCAGCTGTACTCCCACGCTCTCTGTCCCCTGTACATGAAAACCTCTCCGCCTTTTCCTGTGGCTGCAGATGTAAACGGTGTCGATCTGAACCCGGTGCAGGATACCCCCGTGGCCACCAGAAAGGAAGACACGTACATTCACTTCAGTGTGGACGTGGAGGTCCAGAGACATGTGGAGAAATTACCAAAAGGTAGTCCCCGCCACACGCTGGGTTCACAGCATGCCAAGTAATTTGTGTGATTTTTTTTTTATTTTATTTTTTTTTTTTGCTCAGCGTTCTCCGAGTAGAGGCAAGAGAGCTCCTGCGGGGAGGAGCGGACGACTAGAAAATAAACCTGCAGTGAAAATAAAGCTGTTTTTACACATAAACAAAAACTCCAGGCAGTCCTTCTCACATGTAGCAGATATAAAGAGATGTCTGTGTAGTTTGTGCAGGAGCCAGGAAAGAAGACCACTTGCTGGCTATGAATTCTCCACACTTTACTATTAGTTAATGGTTAATTATTACTGCATAGGTGGCACCTATGTGACCTATGTGGCACCTAAGTTAATTCAATTCAATTAATTTCAGTTCTATTTATATAACGCCAAATCACAACGGCGCCTAAGAGCGCTTTATATTGTAAGGTAAAGACCCCAACCATCAAACGCCCCCCTTTGAACAAGCACTTGGCGACAGTGGGAAGAAAAAACTCACTTTTAACAGGAAGAAACCTCACGCACAACCAAGCCCAGGAAGAGACAGCAACCTGCTGCAAATTTAGAAATATTGTCACCTAGGATTTTGAAATTGATACCATGGATGTATCGCTTAAAAAATCTCATGCAAGTTCTTATCTCAGTTAACTCGATCTCAAGGTCAGAGGTTATGTTTTCTGAAAATCTTGTGAATGCGATAACTTGGGAACAAAGGGAATTTGAAATTGATACAATAGGTGTATCCCTCTGGCCAGCACCAGTATTTTTCCTGATTTAATGTGACTATTAAACATATTCTCTCATATCCTCCTTTAACATTTGAGGTACGTTTACATTTTTTCCAGGAGCAGCTATCTTCTTTGAATTCAAGCACTACAAACCCAAAAAGAGGTTCACCAGCACAAAGTGTTTTGCCTTCATGGAAATGGACGAGATCAAACCCGGGCCGATCGTAATTGAGCTGTGAGTCTCACCGTCCAATGAGCGTTTTCCAGCGTGAACTGGAGAAAAATCTTCTCTCGATTGTGGAGTGAAAACTGCTCCTGTGTTTCATTTCAGGTACAAGAAGCCCACGGACTTTAAGAGGAAGAAACTGCAGCTTCTCACAAAGAAACCACTTTATCTCCATCTTCATCAGACGTTACACAAAGACAGCTAAGTCGGACCACGCTTCGAACCTTCGAAGGCCTCTCTCACATCCACATCCAGCAAAATGTGGTGTTCCCCCTCATCGCATCAAGCAATACTAAAAAAACAACAACAAAGAACCTGTGGTATTTATTTTTTATTTTTTCCATGAGTATTTGAAGAAAGTAAAGTGAACAGAGCTGGATTCCTGTCGCATCAGCTCACACTCAGATTTTAAAGTCTTTGATTTTGTTGTGAAGTGTAGGAAATACCAAGTTTTCCAGAATCCAGAAGTAGCATGTTCAAACCACCTCATTTCAGTCTTCCGTAGCTCACTGATTTTTTTTCTTTTTTTCGGGGGGTCAGGAAGAGGCCGTGAGCATCTGCATCTGAATCCTTCAATGTTCAGTTTAGACTTTTAAGTTCGGCAAACCAAGGAAGACATGAAATAAATTAAAGACAAAACAGCGACAGCTTGTTCCATTGAGCCACAAAAGAAGTGCTTTTTGTAATCCGGGTGTATTTATGAGGTCCGGAGTGCACTACAATAATAAACTTTTATCATTTTTAGTTATGAACGGTTCATAATCACACATCTAAAACAGGTATAACAGACGCAAGAGAGACGAGTCCTGACGTTTCCTCATTTTGTCTTAAAACTAGTGAATTAACAGAAATTTAAAGGGGCACTAACCTGACAAAGAATCTGTTTACTGCCTGTCGCAGACTCTGTCTCACAGTTTTGTTTCCTGCTTTAACATTTACAGTTCCTGACATTTAGCAGCTTTGAATTAAAGGTGGCTTATTTTGCACAGATTCAGCTGCCGCCAGCTCACTAAGTAACATGTTGTAAGTTTCCCCGCTCAAAATGTCAAACTGTATCTGTTTAAACTTACACTCACTGGACACTTTATTAGGCTATATCTTCTTTTCTTTTTTTTTCAACTGCACATCCACGATGCAAATGCCTGTGAGTTGTTCCACCACATCCTAAAGGTGCTCTGCTGGATTGAGGTCTAAGGACTGGAGAGGCCATTTGAGTGCAGTAAACCTGTTGTCATGTTCGAGAAAGCAGTTTGAGATGGTTTAAGTTTTGCGATCTGGTGTGGTATCCTGCTGGAAGCAGCCATTAGTAGATGGGAACACTGGTCATAAAGGGATAGACGTGGTCAGCGACAATACTCAGGTAGGCTGTGGTGTTTAAACAATGCTCAGTTGGTACCAAGGGGCCCAAAGCATGCCATTCCATTCACCAGCATTTGAACCAGTGTACCTAACGAAGTGCAAGTCATGCAAGAATTGTGCCATCGGAAGTAAACGTGCATATCATTTGAAAAGTACATTTTTAATTTTCATTTGTAATTAAACACTAAGCAAACTCAGTCTGCACTTCATACTGGTTTAGTGAGTAGTCACATTCAGGTTTATAATGACTCAAGTGGGGCCATCACAGGTAACATCTTCAATTTAATCAATGTTTTTTTCTTTTTAAACTTGTAGCACATGTAAAGTGATACTGGTTTTTTAAAAAAAACGGTTGGGTTTTTCAGAAAAAATCACAAAGGGAGACGTTTAATGTCCCTATAAATCTGACAGTGGCCACGTGTCAGCGTGGATTTAGAAACGTAGAGGGAAAGAGATGCAGCACGGTCTGCATACTGTGGAAGTGTCTCGCCATGAAGCGGATGTTTAGCACCGGTTTCCGATACGCAGTGTTGGATCACATGCTGTCGTAACCACACAGAGGGTTTTAATCCACTGTTACGTTGCAGATTTCGTGTTGGCTCTGTGTGAATGGGATTACGTTCAGAACTGTTCTCATGCGCTTGTGCTCTTCTTTTTATTCTAGAGACCTCTTTCTTTTCTCGAGCTTTTCACATCTTTCTTTCCATTTTGACTCTATAGATGTTCTTCACTAAAACGTCTTGTAATTTTTGATTTTTAGATTTTATTTTTGTAATGTCACAAAAAAAATCTGGACTGTAAATTAACTGTAAGATACACTAACTGATGAATATACAGTAACCGTGTGTATGTGTGAAGTGCTCTGATGTGGCAGGAGTGAGAACTGTGGAGTGTTTTCGTTTTGGCAGAATGAAGGAAATTGTATCAAACATTTACGGCGTGTTTAATTTCTAATAAACTACAAATGAGGCAGTGTGTTGATTTATTTGAACTGATATTTTTCGAGTGAGGAAAAGTTTATACATTAATATACTGAAATAGAAAAGTTAATATCAAGAAGTGATGCTATTAAGTATTTCAAACTCTACGAATAAAAATGTTTAATGTGAAGATGATGTAAAGACAGAAAATTGAGTTATAATTAGCACAGATCAGCACGGACGTATGACTTTATGTAGCCGAGGTATCGTGTTTTGCTTCTTTAACATTTTGTCAGATTTACAAACCAAAAAAAAAAAAAAGGAAACAGGAAGGTTCCTGGTTCAAATCCCCTGCTTTGGCCAGGGTACTTTCTGTGCAGGTTACCTCTGGGTATTCCAGCTTCCTGAATATTCGGGTAAATGTGGTTTGTAAGATGGTGGTCAGTAACACCATATCCAAGAATTTCCACCAAAAAGCCAACACCACAATGTTACTACCACTGACATCAATGGCTTTAGGAGGGGCTACTTGGAGAAATCTACCACCGAGTGCCAGATCCAGCCCACAAGACACCCTAGTTTCTATCACATAGCATACAATCCTCAGAGCACAAAGGCAGAAGTGGCCCAAAGCCAGCGCTGAATCCGAGATGAAGCATGAATGAGAGTCTCCTAGGACAGTGAGAAGCAGTGTTGTGTATTTACTCCTTACACATTCTTTTGGTAGTGGAGTAAGCGGAAAAAGACTGAAAACTCACATGAACTCCCACTCGAGCATAAAAAAACGTCTTGGGAAGTCTGAGAAACTTTTGTTGCACAGGTGGCCAACTTATTGACGTCATACTCAGACACACGGCGGGTCAAAGTAAATATTTGGTTAACTAAGAGACGTTTTTGATTAATGGAGCAAATTCACGTATTTCAAATAATTTTTTTCCCCTCATTTTTAATTTGAATTATGGCATTCTGTTCTAACACTTTCCCTCCACATAGAGGAACCTGGATTAGCTACAAAAGTTACATTTTAGCTGTAAACCAGAAAAAGAAACCCCAGGTAATTAAATAACAAAAACTGTCATCATCACTCTGAGCAATAAAAATGCAAACACATTGTCTCTGTACGTTTTCACATTCTGACTTAAAAGCACATTAACATGTTGGTGGAACGACTTCCCAGCTCAGCAAATCAGATTAACCGAGCAGCTTTTTTGTCCTTGTCCCACCAACAGCACAATCACTGAGCAGTAGACAGCAAATACGAAACAGCAGCTTTCGGACCAACATGTCTGTATAACAGCACAGATGTACGCCTTATTTCTTCACATATATTCTTCATCGCACACCCTACAAAAAACATCCTCAGTATTAACGTACCACACACAGCTTTTATATTCTTTATTAATAAAAGTTCTACCAACATAGTAAAATAAGTTATACATCTGGCCGTCAAATTACACATTTGCTTTGAAATTTGTACGTAAAGCAAGAGCTTTGGGAAAAATCATGGTATTCCTGAAATGCTAGAAGCTAAACCTCCCTCCTGTTTCTCAATTTTAAAAAACAATTTCCACAGGAAATGACATTTTTTTTAAAAAAAAACTGCCCCTTTAAAAATCATAGCTATATAATTTTCTTAAAGATCAACACAAATGAAAATCTGGCATAAAACGAAGTGTTATTGCACAGGCTGTTTAGAAAAGTGGCAACCCTTTCAGCTCACATTTCAGACATAACTGATCATTCTTTAATCTGCGGGCCTCGCTGTAAGAACATTTGCATCTGACTATGAAAATAATCATGATCTTTGTTTGTACTGGATCTGGGTTGTTATTGTGACAGGTTTAGTTAACGGGGGTGTTTGAGTCCTCTGCCATAGCTGGTGGCATATTTAAGGCTTGACCATTTCTGGCCTGGCTGAGTCCTGAGGGGCCTCCTGCTTCACGTGCAGGTCTTGTCTGGGGACGCTGTGAGCGGCTACAGAGTTCTGGAGGGCATCGGGTGCAGGCGGGCCATAAGCATCACCAGGATGTGCTGGATGAGGCGGGGCACCTAGAGGCAGGTCCACAGGTTGGCCAGGGTGGTCACGTGGTAATGGGAAGCGCATGTCAGGAGGGAAGGGTGGACGAGGTCCCATGGGCCCACGGACACCTAAACAGGAAAATCGCAGGGAAATGATAGTCACACAGACAAAAAAGACCAAAGACCAGGTCTGTACTTCTTTCAGGAAATAAAGAAGCCTTTGCCTTCTTCTGCCTCAGGGTCTTCTTACACAGACTTTAGTAGCCCAAGTAGATGAACAGGGACCAGAATATATTCTGCAACTCAATTTTTTTCTTTTCATTTTTAAATCAGCACCAAATTAGCATCTGCATTTCATTTACTTGTGGACAATCCCCTCCCACCTATTCTGAAAGTTCAGCTACTGCTGACCAGCTCACCCCGGCCCTTCCTGTTTCATGTTAGTCAGCCAGGATGAAAACCACAGCAGCAGATTATGTTATTTGCCATTTTTAGAAGCATAAAGTTGGCATTATTTAATAAGAGATAAGCATTGTGTATGTTCATCTCGTAAGTCCAAGGAACCCCTCAGCTGCTACAAACAGAATCTAAATCTGCCAAAAGCTGAGTATTAGAAAGCCAGAATGCCACCTTAAACTAGTTAAAACCGAAGAGTTGATAAGGCGAACTATATGAATGGCTTCCCTGATCAGTTTATTATATATTTTTTAAGTCCAAGTAAGATTGGCTTGTATGACTAGAAATTAATGGTGGCAAATGTGAGAAAATGTCATGTATAAACATTAAAAAAATATATATATTTTTTTTTTTGTTAAAGCCGTAACTCCTCTTATCATGTGGTACACTGCACTACTTTCTGCTCATTTACCATCATGCTATTATCCGCTTTGTTTATGAATGGCTGCTCTTCATCAAATTTTAAGCATTGCAAGCGGCTACAAATGGAGTCCATTTCCGGGCTTTACCATAACACTGCCTCTACGTCAATCTATCTGGACTCACTCAACTCCACTGTGAATCATGTCTAATAGCTTGCTGCTCTTCTTCTGCATGATGAATCTGAATCTGAAGAATACTGAAGATGATGACAACAGACTGTCTGTTGGCAGTTCAACTGATCTAAGTATGTCCCAGAGTTTGTGTTTTACTAGAAATGACAGTTTTCCAATTCTATTTTACTAGTATTAAGCAAAGTCGTATAGATGAGTTTGTCCTGTAAAGAGACTCATCCACCTCTCAAATGGCTGAAGTCATGACAGAGAGCATCTTTAGCGTGGTTTTCAACAGCTGGGGACATCATCTCAAAGATATGTCCACTGCAATCATGAATTCATGAACTGAAACATCTTGAAATGTGTTATTTTGGACTAGAAATTAAATCTTTTTGATTTAATCTTTATTTGACCTTATGGACAAAAGCCATTTTTAGTTTCCTATTTGCGCGTTATTTTTTTTAATTTATTTCATTTTTATTCTGACGGTCCTGTTGAGTAATGTTGAAAATATATTTGATTATTTTCAAATTCATGCTTCCTGGGTCATTGTAGTTTGTTGAGGGAAGTGGAGATAAGAGTTATGGAAATAATTGTTGACTAATCAAAGAAAAATTGGCAGCTTAGTCGACTACATAAATAAACGTTAGTTACAGCCCTACTCAGTACAACTATAACATTTTAGTGAACTTTTCCCATTTTGGCTAAAACTAAAATGAGAAAGTCTGGCATATAAAGAGGTCCACATCAGGTTTATATGGACCTAAAAATATAGTGTTATAAATATAACAAAAAGTTGAACGTACCCTGTGGAGGAGGCATCGGTCCAAAGTGATGAGGTGGAGGGGGACGGAATTGCGGTGGGAGCGGACCCCGGGGATCAATGCCTGGGCCAGGGCCTTGCCTGGGGGGAATTGCAAGTCCATTGGGGGGTCCAAACTCTCCTCCCATTGGTCCAGGCAGGGGCATACCTGGGTGTCCATTAGCTGGTAGGGGAGGACCTTGAAGAAGAGGAGGGCCAGGTGGGAGGTGATATGGGCCAGGTCGCGGTGGTCTGTAAGCTATGGGTGGTGGCAGACGGCCAGGAGGGAGCATTGGATCATAGGGTGCAGGACCAGGTGGAGGTCCGTGGACCATGGGTCCAGGTGAGTCCCTGATTGGTGATGCTATGAAGGATCCTGGACCCTGGAAAACAAACAAACATGACAATTTGAAGTGACAACTTTCATGAGAGTATAGATGGGCTAACACTTTGTCATGCAGTGAAGTGATCCAGAAACCACACAGTGCATTTAGCCAGGGTTTAATCACATGACCACTAACCACACACCATGGTTATTTGGATTAAAAACAAGCCACTTTCATAGCATCTTGATATATGACACACATACTCTGCAATTTTTCATAACCCCAGTATTTTCAAGACACATTTTTGAGTTGCTGTTTCTTTCAGTGCAGTGAGATGAAAAACACACTAAGCCTAAAAAAATGTTTAGTCAGCCCCAGAGAAAAAGAAGAGCCTTTGATCCCCTTCCAAATCCAAATCCAGCTTAAGGGAAGAGGACGTGGAGTGCTTCCAAACACCTTCACACCAACACCTGGACTGACAGCATCTGTACTCACTGCCTCTGGATTCTCTGTGGTGACCTCAGCCTTAGTCTCTGTTTTTATCTGTGGATCTACTGCTTGCGTCTGTTTCAGATTAGGACAAACAGTGGAAATGCAGCAGGAGCTCTAAGTCTACACATGAAAGGAGAGATGGTATCACATAAAAATGGGTTTGATATGATTAAAAAGAAACTTACAGATGCATCCAAGTTGGCTGGAGATGAGCTACGTGGGCCCATCATGTCTGAAAGAGGGGAAACAGTACTGCATTAATAACAGGTTCAAAATAAACACAAAACCTTCGAAATGCACAAACTGCAGAGGACATACCCATCCCAGAGATGTGTTTTTCAGGGTAACGACCATGGGGATCTGATGGAGGGCGAGGACCTGAGGGTAGAAAAACACAAAACTATGAATAACCAAAACTCCATGGAGCCCCTTCGCAGGGAAAACACAGCCGCAACACACAGAGTAAGAGGAAACAAAGAGACTGTACACCCTAGGAAAAAAAATAAAAAAAATAAATCAGAGGTACAAAAAAACAAAAACAAAAAAAAAAACCCCAAACCCTTGCATTTAAATGAAATCATCTTTGATTTCTAAGAATAACTTATTCACACATACACATACAAATTCAGAAAATCTTCTTCCACAATCTAATCTTGTTTTTAATGAAATAAAAGCAAAAGCACATTTCAACAGAAACAAGCAAATGATCCAACTGGAAGGGGAGGGAGGGTGAAAATAAGAGCTGGTACCCGAAGGAATCAGGATGCAATACACACTAGGAAAAAACATAAAAGGAAAACTTGAGGTGAGAGAGCTGAAAAGAAAAATAAAGTCAGGAGGGAAAGAGGAGAGAGATGAGGTTGTAACGGAGAGTGATGTTCCACTTGGGTAAAAAGGAAGTGGGGGAAGCAATCCACTTGGACTCACCAAACGGGTCAATTCTCCGTGCAACTGGGGCAGAAGGAGGACGCCTGGGACCCTCAATCATTATAGGTGGGGATGGTGCACCCCCACTCACAGGAGAGGGCCCGTATGAGTCACCTGTTACAATTGAACCGTCAATTTACCAAAAGAAAAGAACTGCAGCTGACAAAACAACACAAGTCATGCAATAAAGAGGGTCACTTCAGGGTCTCCAAGAAAAATCAAGCACATGAACAGGACAAATACACAATCAGAACACATATGAGGCAAAACTGGAGCCCCCCTGCCCCGCAACAGAAAACAGTATTATCTTCAGTGGTTCTTCGGGATGACAGCTGAGCTGATGGAAATAAAACAGAGGGTGAGATGTGCCTGCTTACCTTGGCGAGGGCCTGCAGGCTGACCAGAGTTTGGTCTGAAGAGAGGAGCGCGGCGCTCATTGAGCTGAGAGGTGAGTACAGCCAATCTGTGAATAGGAAGAAAAACAGCTCAGATGCAGTTAAACTGGGCTGTGACTTACGGCAATTTTAATTATCTGATGAAAATGTAACAGAGCCAGTGGTGACGTCATTAAATAATTTCACAGTTTGTCCAAAAAAAACAAAAACAAACAATCAATAGCCTCCAATCTATTCAGCCTGAAGTCACATTAAGCAGTAATAGGAACAGCTATGATGTGAGGTAACGACTAAACATTTTCAGGCTTTCGCAACTTCCTGTATAGAAACAGCCTCATTATGAGTAACAAACAAAATTTCTGATACTCCAGAACAACAAGGAAGCTTTAACAACTGCCAAAACTCACTTTTCACGAAGCTTCGATGATTCGAGCTTCTCTTGGTTTAGAGCTCGCTCTGCATTACGAGCGTTCACCTGCAGGCAGCACAAAGAAGCAGAGTAATGCTTTAGCTCAATACTAATCTTACGCAGACCGAATAAATTATTTATCGCATCTGTAAATAAACGGTGTGGAAACATACCCAGTTTGAGTGAGTTTTGTTCTCCTGCTCTTTGATCTAAAGAAAGAAAATCCCATTCAGCCGAGATTCAGATTGGAGTAATGTTTTTATTTTGTTGGCTAATCTGAAAACGTTAAGATAAAAAACAAACAAACACACAGTCTACCTGCTCTTTGTAGACTTCCTCAGTCTTCTTCATCTGGTCCTCCATCTCATTAATGCGCTGCCTTAAAATTTTAACCTGCTCCTCAGCTTCAACAGCTTTCCCTCCAACCTCCGACAGCAGATTCTCTTTGCTGCGCCGCTCCAGCTCCTCCTTCGTTAATTTCCTGTGTGCGCAGAGAAACACAGTAACTCCCAGTCCTTCTACAAATCACAACTGATGAGAGGTTTCACTTACTCATCATCATCATTCATGGTGTAAAGACAGCAAGTAAAATTTACAACTACAAAAATACAGAAGACTTTCAGACATTCACGACAGGAAGTAACAATTTCGAATCTGCTGAAGACTTCACTTACTGCTGCAGGGCATTTTCCTTCTGCTGATACATTTCGACCATGATTTCATTTTTCTGCTGGAGGATCTTGAACTGGTTTTCAATGTGGCTCTTCTCACTTTTCAGGGTTGAGATTGCATGTTCAAGCTCCTGGTGTTGCTCTGTTTTAAAATAAAACAAAGAGGAGTTTAGTAGGATGCAGATACCCAACTGAATTACACAACTTCTTAACCCTTGTGTTGTCCTTGGGTCAAAAATGACCCCTAGGTGTATGGCAAACAAGTGTATGGGAATCCCGAGGACATTAAACAAATTCACAATGTACCTTCCATTGCCTTCCTGGACTTCTCTTCATTCAGTAGTTTTGTCATGAAGCGATCCCGCTCTTCTTCAACTACAGCAAGAGTGGTCTGAACCTGTAGGGAAAAATACAGGAAAATGCAATAACATTTAGAAACCGAACAATCCTCTATAAACTAAAATATAATAAGCTTTACAACATCTGTTGATATCTCACCCTAGAAACATCCATCATCTGTTTGATTCTGTTCTTTACGGCCGTCTTCTTGTCTGTAAGAGACACTGAAAGAACAACAAAACACTATATTATTAAACAGTGGTTAATAAAACTACTCGCCGTATTTCATCCATAAATATTCTGATAAACTACAAACTTACCAGGTGCTACTTCACCATTGGCCAAAACTTTGGTGTCACCTTTTTGTAAATCACAAGCTTCCAGGTCAGACAGAAGTTCAGACAGCACCTGAAGTGGACATATTGTGCAAGAATGAGACAATTTCATAAATAAATAAATAAATAAATAAATAAATAAATAAATAAATAAATAAATAAATAAATAAATAAATAAAAACAAAAATCAGGAAGAGTTATGACAGTAGTTAGTGAAAAAAAATGACCTCCACATTGTGATCTTTGAGCACCACAGAGTCCTCCAGTTCTTTCTGGGACTTCTGATAGACTTTAATCTTCTCATTAAGCTCTGTGTGTTTTTCCTCCCAGCTTTTAATGGTGACCTTCAGCTGTTAGAAGAGGCAGGGTAAAAAGCATAAATTAAATCTGATTAGGCATTCAGATTAATGACAATATAAAAGAGAAATATCCATATCTGTCTTACTGTTTTGTTCTCGTCCTTTAACGCAGCAAACTCTTTTTCAAGACATTTTTGTTGAACGTTTCGGGCATCTTCCCGAATCTTGGCTTCATCCAGGAGAACAGTAGTCTATGGATGAAAGAAAACAGTTTATGAGATAAATTAAAGCTAAAAGGTCACAGTAACACTACAGAGTTTGCAAAAAAAATATCCCAAAAGGATTTGTACCTTAGAGAGCGCTTCCTGAATCTTTTTCCTGTTAGCTTGTAGCTTCTCGTTTAACTTCTCTAATTTCTCAATCTGTTAAAAATAAATAAATAATTGCAGCATGAATCAGCGAAAAGAACGCAAATAACAACGAGCAGAAAGCAAATGAAACACTTACTCTGGTTTCATTTTGGAGAGTGTTTGCCCGCTCTTCCTCCAGTAGCTGTGCGTATTTGTCCTTTTCCTCGGCCATCTGTTTATTCAATGTTTCAGCCTGTAAGACTTTACTCTGCAAACAGTAAAGAAAAAAAAATTAACGACAACCCTTCAACAAATAACTGAGTGTCAACAAAGATTCAACCCGGTTACGTAAGACTAAATACATATGAGAAAGACTCTTACTGCTTACCTCTAGCTCTTGCATCTTTTTCACTGTACAACTAACAGTTTCCTTTGACTGTTTTTGATTTTCTTTCAGTTGTTCAGTCTTTTACAAAAAGAAGAAAACATGAATCAGATGTGTTTTGTTTGTTTTTGTATAGGAGAAACTCAACAACATTTCTCTTTCTGGGGCTCACCTGTTTCTGGAGTTCAGCCATTTTGGCGAGAGCTTCATCCTTTTCCTTTTTGTGCACCTGGATTTGCTCTCTGAGTCTTTTTTCATCCACTTTTCCCATTACACAAAGCACACAATCAATGAGGCCGTACACATATGCATTTTGTCATGTTGTGCAAAAATTATAACTGAAAACTTACCGAGGTACTCTTTCTTCTTTATCTTTAAAAATAAAATTAAAAAAATCAATTTTAAATCTTACAGTGTATAATATCATCCAACAATGACCTAAATATGGAAGATTTTATACTGTGTATAACTCAATCCGATGGGAGTATAACCCAGGGGGATACAAAGCCTTATTAAATCAAAGCTCATACAAATAATATTGGCATTTTACAGGCACCAAATAAACAGAGCAGCAATATCACAACACTTACTGCCAGCACAGTCCTCCAGAAGAAGAGGGTGAAGGTCAATACTCCAACCAAAGCAGTGATGACAACAGCTTGCCAAGGACAGCCAAACAAAGTTTCTCCTGGCTTCCACTCTTCTGGCAGCAATGAAATCATCTGAAGAGACAAAAAAAAAACAACAACCCCACAACCACAGCTTTAACTCTGGAGAACGAAATTAAACTGGAAACAGATGGTTAAACTAGCACTATGCAATTCAATTATATCGATTTCTAGTTACAAACACAGCTTTCAAAAGTGGTGAAAAGAAGATTGAAAAAGAAATTGATTGAAAATTATTTTCATAGTGATGCTCTTATTTTGTCTTATAACTTGATTGCACTTTTCCTTTCATATTCTCATTTTGCCTATCACAACATCACTTTTTCCTCTCAGTAAAAGCTTAAGTTCAGGCTATTGCATGAATACTTTGGTTTACAAAAATGTTTGTTTTTTTTATTTAGCTCAAAGACACTTAATTAAAAAGAGACAAGAGAGTTACCATGTTTCAAAATGTATCAAAATAATTATGACTATAAATCTGGCTGCAAAATAAATAAACAAAAAAGCCCAATGGAAAAACAAACTAGACAATATACAATAAAAACACTGCAGAAGCTCTGATTAAACATCAAATTAAATCTACCGTTAGACTAACACACTGTGCATACATTTACCAAACTATGACACATCAGTAAAGAGTCATCTGTAACTCAAATAAGCACTCATTACAACCAAGATTAGCAAGAAGAGCATCTCTGTCCCACAACGAATCTTAAGGCTGAAAGGCTACTGCAGCAGCAGAAGTGCCACTCTTGTAAGCTAGAACAGGAAACTAATGATATGACTGACATGGGCTCAGCAGGATTGGACAACAGAAAACTGGAAAACATTGCCAAGCCCCCAAGTATTTATCTAATAAAGTGGCAGCTGAGTGTATGTGATAAAGGACACAGGATCGATATAAAAACACAAAAAGATTAGTCTACACTCTCAGTTTAGTCACCAAAATAATTCTGTTGGTTATTTATTAACATAAAAATAACGTGTTTTTCTACATTGTTCTATACATACATTTTGAAGTGATGTAGCATTTCATACATTACTTGATTAGGGAGCAATTCATACTACAAGCTTTTCTCTTTCACAAGCTAGGTGGGTTTCACTTTATAGTTAAACTAGCTTCATTTATGCCCAGTCATACCAAACCGAGCATATTAGTCCAATCACAAAGAAACCTTTGAACTCCCCATGAGACAACAGTAGCAAACACATACATGCTCTCACTCCGTGGCTCTAATAAAATACAGGGATTACAGCTGCCTTAATACTAATGGCAAATATTAAAAGCCTCTCTTCAATTTACTGCTTTTCACTTCTAAATGTTCAATACAAATTCAACAAAGGCTGGGCTGTAAGAAAAGTTAGATAGCAATGAAAAGGGCACAGGACAGTGAAAGGTCTTCAATCAAATATACAAGACCCGGTCGACTGCTGCTAATGCTAAAGGCAAGTTTGGTGAGTAGATTTAGGACAAGGAACCGTCCAAGTCATTATCCATCAGCCACCTGCTAATTAACACGTCATGGTTAACCTCACAGGCCGTGACAGCGTAAATAATAATATTCATATAGGTGTCAGTCTGGCTTTTTTTTTTTTTTTTAAATACTGTAATGAATACTTACATGTTGCAGTTCCTTCACAAAAACTACATATGTGTTCTCCGGTTCCATGACAGGCAGGGATAATGTCTCCCTCTCCATTCTCGTGTTTAAAAACAAGAATGGAACTAGCCAGATGCTAGTTTGACAGGTATCAGCTAGCTGCCTAGCACGTTAGCTATTCACAAAGTAACTGTATCGTTAAGCAAACGCTCGTTATTCAGGAGCGTTAATGTCTCCCGCGTATGAAAGACAAATAAGCGGTCGTTAGACAAATGGACAACGTAAAATAGTGGAGATAGGAGTTGGTAACAACGACTTGCTAACGGTAATTAAAGATCACCCGTCAAATCCCATTCACAGCAGTTATCGTGAAGCGACGGTCGTTAGCAGAGTTGGTGGTTCTGATTATGGATAACGACTGTAGCGACCAAAAAAGGCTACACTAACTCAACAACACATTATCTGCCTGTACATGCCACAATAAGGCCGTTAGCCCCAGCAGCCAGCTCAGCACCGGCTGTGTCGAACTTCAGCCTGTACCGCGACAGTCAACAAGGCAGGGGGAGGGCCGGAGGGGGCGTTCAGGGAAAACTGGAAATTTGAGTTCTCACATAATGCACCACACTTTCAGAGCAGTAAGACCGACGTCTATGTGGGGCGACCAGAAGTGTACCCACACGATTTTAATCCTCTGTCCCACATTTTGGCTGGCTGAACAAAAGTCTCTAAAGTCATGCAAGTCTCCAGCTCCCCAAAAACTATATGTGGGGAAAAGAGTTTATTCATGCGGAACAATGTGGGATAGTGGAATGCAACATTGCAATTTTTGGTATCTATTCAATATTATATACAGTATAAAGTATACTATTATATAAAGTATATACAGACCCAGCTTTGCCTGCGTCAGTACTTTTAAGAGCCGCATGTAATGATTTATGAGGTGAATCTGAATACGTTTTTATGACAAATAATTGTGAGTTTTGCATTAATTGGTCAACAAATCACAAGTGCACCTTTGACTGTTTTTCCCACTTTTTGTCTTTTTTTTGAAGCGCTGGAATTTAAATGTGCCCTCCTGGCAACCGCTTTCTGTCAACCCCTGTTATTTTAAATGTGCTTAATAAATACAAATGACTTGATAGTGAACCAAAAAGGGTTCTTATACTATACTTAAATTACTTAAATATTTTCATGTTCAGGATATATTTTTTCAGTTTCAGTAAAATTTAAGTGTTAAATTGAGTGACATCAGAACCAATTACGGCAGAACTGGAAGAAGGAAGATGAGCGAAGTGTGGACAGGGCTGTGGGGATGCTTGAACAGACATGCTTACTGTTTGATGTAACTGAAGCGACATGCTCAGAGGAGATAAACTAAAGGATCAATCCTATCACACAAGTATTGATCAGATACCAGTACCAACGCCGGTATCTATATAATCAATATTTAGATCGATCCATCCCCTCCTATTTTCAGAGCAGCAAGACAACAGTCTGTGACGTCTGCCCCAAATATTGCGACAATGCCCTACATTTTGGCTGGCTCTACAAAAGTCCTCGCCAGTGATTCTTATAAAACAAACTTATAAACAAAACAGTGGATCATCTGCCTCCATTTCACCCTATTCCTTGAATTCTACTCTATCACACCAACCCTCTGATATCCTGCTGAGCATCTTGGTCACTTCCAATAAAATCTGAGCATCTTTAACTCTGTCATCTCCAGCTGAGGCTCCTGTTTTTGTTTTTTTTTATTATTAGTGATGAGCATAGATGGAAACTGAAGTTCATAATTGGTCCTATGGAACAGTTTTCTGTACATGCTTCCAACAGCTGTCATTGCAGTTGCTGTCTTTTCAGCTTTTCTGTCTGCTAATCATCTTTGGGTTTTAGCAGGGATGCATCCAAGTTCTCTTTGAGTTGTTTTATTCTGACACAAGTCCATTTTTGTAAATTAGAGTCATTTAAAATGCGGGACACTGTCTCGATATAAAAATGCTGTACAGTCTCACACTCCTGATGACACTAGTCTCACAAGAAACATTTTGGTTTAAAAATTGATGAGCTGAACTATGAATGCTTCCTTGCTGAAAGTACTTTCATGCTTTCAGCTGTTCCCTTATTTCCCAAGACGTTGCCACACAGGAGGGAACCACATGTTGATTTGTTACAGATACTACACCGGATGCCCTTCCCACTAGCTTGTGACCCCTGAGGATAGCTTTGTGTCTCCTCCCAGTCTTGAAACAGTGATCTTATGAACCATTCGCTCTTTGAATGCCTCCCAACTAAAATCCCCAAATTATTACCACAGAGATAAGAGGTGGAAATTTTAACAGTTACAGTGATGCAAACAGGAAATGCAAGACTGCACAAAGACTGCCACATAGGACCATAAAAAAAATTAAATTCCTCTTTATGTCTATTCTATAGTAATTGAGTTTAACTAAATTAGAGTAAATCAAAGTTTATTTGTGATTGACCTGATCAATGCCAAACCTGTAACCTGCACAGTATGTGTGTATTCATGTTTTAATTTAGATCAAAATCCCTCTCGGCACTGGCAACACGTCCCACAGAGTCTTCGCAAACAAACCCCTTTCATCACATTTAGTTTGCCCGGATCTGGTTACCCTAGCAACATAAAATATGGTGCGTAACTATATCAGAGAGGCCAATACTTTTCTGGACTGTGTACTGCTCATTTACGAGTAATATTTCTAAGCCACTCTAAGTTCAAATAAAATAGTAAATTTTGGTAGGGATGGGAAGCTCGAAACAGACGTTTCGACACTGTGTCAAGCCTCCGAAGCCGAGATGTTTTGAAAATCTGCTCTGAAGCGTGGTTCAAATGTTTTGGGTTTTGCTGGAGGTGCCAAGCTGTTGTTCTTCCACGTGATAACGAGGCCTCTGTATGTTAAATGAGTAAATTGTTTCTTCAGACTTCAATCATCCAATCTAATAAACCACGCCAAAAAGAGTCAATAGCAGCATACTCAAGTATAGTATGTAGTATGTCCCTATGAACTATGAGTGATGTTAGGATGTCCTGGGATAGCATTAAAAAGTATATAATAAGTTTTTTCTTTCCTACTTCCTTTAAAGAAGCCATCAAGGGAACATTTGTTTATTCATTTTTCTGTGCGGCACTCAAACCAGCAACAGATATTCAGCATACGCAGACAGAGGAGATGATAGAGAACTAATTTGTTTAACTTGTTCCTTAAAAATCTGCATGTTTGTGCTTCTTCCCTGCACATGACAGAGAAAGATCAGAAAAATCGGACATTATTTTGACGTTTTTAATTGTCAGATCATCGAGACTGATTACAGATTTAGATTCATTTGGATGTTGCTGAAATATTTCACAAATTAGATTAGTGAATTAGATTAGTGGTGAATCTAATGTATACAGGATGTGGTGTATGCAATGGTGGTACACTTACCACAGTGCTCCACTCTGCAGTTTTATTCGTGATCATTGCAAGGATGCAGCCCGTGTAAACAAGCCCTGTTGAGAATAACCCCACTTCTTCTTCGTGCACTTCGGACACTGGTTCCATGGAGTCCATAGACCCTTGTCAAACAGAATTTAACAGTTAGTAAGTCTGTTTGTTATTGCTGGATTATGTAAAGCTCTTCTATAACAGAATATAGTTAAATATCAACATAAAGGCAAAACCATATGTAACTAATATAGTGTAACTTTAATATGATAAAACCAGAGGAAGCTTAATGTGACTGATTTGCTGACCTCAAGATTATCCTATTTTATTGTAGCCAAAGTCCAAAATTCTCATAATGTGTTTACATGTTCTAAATATTTCACAAAAGCAATGATATTTTAATAATGGATTGCATTTGTATAGCGCTTTTCGAGACCCTCAAAGCGGTTTACAATTTCACTATTCATTCACTCTCACACACTGGTGGAGGCAAGCTACGGTTGTAGCCACAGCTGCCCTGGGGCAGACTGACAGAAGCAAGGCTGCCATATCGCGTCATTGGCCCCTCTGGGCATCACCAGTAGGCGGCAGGTGAAGTGTCTTGCCCAAGGACACAACGACGAGACCGGCAACCTTCCGGTTACAAGACGAACTGACATCTCTTTGAGCCATGATCGCCCCATTTATTAGGAATCAAACATTTATGCTCCTTTTTTGTGACCATGGCACACTAAGGTTCAAGGCACAATTTCAATGGGGAACCTGTATTACTATTTACACCACACAGCCTCTTTGTAATCTTACATATTATAACTGTTGGTGGAAACCTGCAATTTAATTCCATTACACCATTGCTCTAAAGACATTACTAACCTGAGGGTGAGTGTTCAACCTCAACACCAAGGCCCATGTCGAAGGCATTTTCCAGGGTGGCTTGAGGCACCTTTTGCATCTCATCAGATGTGCTGAAGCTCAGCGGATTGTCTTTGTTTTTATTAAAGTGTCCACCATCTTCCTCCACACTAACGTCCGGTCTAACCAGCTGTTCCTCTTCAACCTCAGCTGGCTTTTCTTCAGGATCCGTTATTGTCAGGTTGTCATCGCTCTCGGCCTTTGGTATTTTGTCCAATTCTTCCTCAGCAATGTGTAGCACATCTTCTTTAACATTCAATTCCTGTTCATCTGAGATGGAAACATAGGGGAAAACCCAATAATGCTTAAATTTAAGATTAAACATTTTAAATCTAGAACTAGCCTCTAGATTGCATGACATCTGCAGAGCAAAGACAAATTCATTATCATGAAAATCCATTTTGGCTTTGTGAAAAAAGAATTATTCAAGTGAAATGCATTAGTAATATGAAATATAGTTATTTTTAACATTACAAGAAAGGGTTAGAGTTATTCTGAAATTCTAATCTCTTATGGATTTTCATAAACCCTTTCCTATGTCAACTCTCAAGATAAAGAAACACATTATGTCTCTTCACTATCAGCATGCAGCTGAGCTGTCCTTGTGGCCCACTGAAGAGCCAAAATACCCAGCGCCATCACTGGACAGTCACGTTATCAGTCTCCTAAAAGATTGACTAAGACTAATGTGTTTTCAGACCTCCTCAAATAGAAGTACATCAACAAATAGATAGGGATAACTCCAGAAAATCCACTACAGTGACCATCTGCTTGATGCTTAAGCTATACCTAAATTGGTATATTGAGTGAAAATGAAACCATCCATTTGCTTCCGCTTATCCTTTTCAGGGTCACGGGGGGCGCTGGAGCCTATCCCAGCTGTCATAGGGTAAGAGACGGGGTACACCCTGGACAGGTCGCCAGTCTGTCGCAGGGCGAACACATAGACATAGACAACCATTCGCACTCACATTCACTCGCACATTTACACCTAATGGCAATTTGGATTATCCAATTAACCTATCCCCACAAGCTGCATGTCTTTGGATGGTGGGAGGAAGCCGGAGTACCCGGAGGGAACCCACGCAAACACGGGGAGAACATGCAAACTCCACACAGAAAGACTGTGGGGGAATTGAACTCAGGACCTTCTTGCTGTGCGGCAACAGTGCTAACCACCGTGCTGCCCAAAAATGAAACCATTGGTTCAGAAAAACAAAACAGTAAACAAAGTGAGAGAAAAGATAGAAAGTTTGGAATAGTTTCTCCTCTGTTATTGTTGTAAAATAGCTTTAAGAGTGTTTTTTCTGGATTGGAGTTTGAATAAAATAAGCAATTTGAGGTAAGTTCACTAAACTCTTGGGCCTTTTTGCTATTTTTTTACCTTTTAAAAAGTAATTTCTTTAATTTTCTGTAATGAAATTATGAACATTTCCTTTTAATTTAGGTCAGAGTCTTATGTCACTGTGTTCACTGATAGTCAACATATCTAAAATTTCACCTCAAAAGTTGATTTGACAAGCTGACTACACTGAAAAAACCTAGGGGGAAGTTTCTGATGTCAAAGAGAACGAGAAGAAAACATGTTTTTCTTTCCCTTTGTGACCACAATTAATTGTTGTTAGGATGGTAAGAAAAGCAGGAAATCCTATCTCAACGGCTCCATTACTGTTGGGTGTGAACTGAACTCCCTTTTAGCGTGATGACGACACTATCTATTTATCTGGAAACAAGATGCTGGATATCTGCTTCGTCACAGTATCAAATTCTGCATTCACTTTGATTATAAACTGATGCAATGAACATATTTAATAGCACAACTGTCAATGTTTAAAGCAGAATAAGCAACCACAGAGACATGTAAGCCTTTTTGTACTCAAGATACTTCAAATAATACAGATCAAACCCACCTTTCTCAGTGTCTGATGACAGTTCTAGTGCTAAAGGCGTGCTGTCACTGGCTGTTGAATATTTTTGCCGCAGGCTGAAAGCCAGCTCCTGAAAGTCGTCCAGTATTTCTGTTTCTTCATCCAAATTACTTGGGTCCATATGGTGATCATAGTCGTGTTTAGTGTCCCGGCTATCAAGCATCTTCTCAATCTCGTCCAAGATAGTGTTCTCAGAGGCTTCCAAGATGCCTTCGAGCGCATTTTCAATGTCCTCTGTAGTACCCGTCTGTGACTGACGGGTAGCCTGAAACTCTATGTCCAGATCCATGAACATGGCCTCCAGTTTGAAGAGATTTTTTAGACCCAGAAGCTTTTGGACCTGCTCCATCTTCTCCTCTGTGAAGTGATCCCACAGCAGAGTCAATCTCATTACGCTTTCGCTGTATTCTGGCTCTGGAGGTGACACGGTAGGCGGACTTGTTTCAGGCAAGGTTTTGTCTGACTGCGAGAACAAAAGCGCGTTTTCATCTTCAAGTAATTCTTCTCTCTCTTCATCGTTCCCCTCCTCCGCATCTGGAGTCTCATCTTCTTCCATCATCTCCCTTGTATGTAGTGCATCCTGAATCTCTGGCTCATCAACAGGTGATTCTGCTCGACTGTTATTACTTCCTAAATCTGTCATTGAATCATCAGGTATCTGATTAGGCAGGCTGTCATTTACTATGTTATCATCATCTCTGAGGTCTGAGTCACTGGACCTCTCATTAGCGGACAAGTCGAGGTGTTTTTCACTTTCGGTCATGTTTTCTTTTTCATCCACTGCACTGTCTAATTTCTGCTCTGCAGCAGTAATACTGTCTGGTATTGCTGCCTTATCCTCAGTGACATCTGGATCTTTGTGCACCTCCTGCTCATCTTTGTCTTTAGTGGCCTCTGAATCCTTGGGCACCTCCTGCTCGTCTTTGTCTTCAGTGGCCTCTGAATCCTTGGGCACCTCCTGCTCGTCTTTGTCTTCAGTGGCCTCTGAATCCTTGGGCACCTCCTGCTCGTCTTTGTCTTCAGTGGCCTCTGAATCCTTGGGCTCCTCCTGCTCGTCTTTGTCTTCAGTAATCTCTGAATCCTTGGGCTCCTCCTGCTCGTCTTTGTCTTCAGTAATCTCTGAATCGTTAGGCACCTCCTGCTCGTCTTTGTCTTCAGTAATCTCTGAATCCTTGGGCTCCTCCTGCTCGTCTTTGTCTTCAGTAATCTCTGAATCGTTAGGCACCTCCTGCTCGTCTTTGTCTTCAGTAATCTCTGAATCCTTGGGAACTTCCTGCTCGTCTTTGTCTTCAGTAATCTCTGAATCCTTGGGAACCTCCTGCTCGTCTTTGTCTTCAGTGGCTTCATGTGTGGTTTTTATATGTGTTACTTCAGCCTCATGGTTGTCTAAATTATTATCTTGTGGCAGTGGCTCCGTGGATATTCTCATCCCCTCTGTTAGATGCTCTATTTGATCCTCTGCTGATTTTTTGGTTTCATCCTGAGCTTCCTTATGTCCAGTAACTTCTACATCATTTTCATTCTTATCAGACAAAACTTTCTCTGAGTCACTGGTGCCTTCATTCACATCAGAATTATCAGATGTAGAATTCAAAGAATCTTGAAGAACTGGCTCCATGTTCTCTGGGGATTTTACCAAGAGTGATTCATCATGGGTTTTTACATCCTCTTCCTCCTCGTCTTCCTCGTCCTCATCTTCCTCTTCATTCACTTTTTTTGCTGACATGTCTACTCCAGTGACAGCTGAAAACACAGCGTCTCCGAGTGATGTCCACATATTCTTCTCCTCTGCTGTCTTTGGTCTATCCTCAGGTGTCAATGGCAGACTTTCAGGATTTCTAGGAGACTCCGGTGTTGGAGTGTTAGAGGATTCTCTTGAAAAAGACAGCAGTGGCGTTTCCTCTTTAGTATCACTATCATTTTTGGGCTGATCTTTCACATCCTCACTGTCGTCTTCTGGATTTGGTGTAACTTTCTTGGTGCTTTCTTCATCTGTTACAACAGCATCAAAAGTTGTCCCAAGGGTAGTTTTTAACTTAGGGATTGGCACTCGCTCATCATCATCTTCCTCTTGTTCTGAATTCACTTCTTGTGTGGTTATGTCTACTCCAGTGACAGCTGAAAACACAGCATCTCCGAGTGATGTCCACACGTTCTTCTCCTCTGCTGTCTTTGGTTTATCCTCAGGTGTCGCCAGTGGAGTTTCAGGCTTTTTAATAGAGTCAGATGCTGGAGTGTTGACGGATTCTTCTGAAAAACACAGCAGTGGAGTTTCCTCTTTAGTATCACTATTATTTTCGGGATGGTCTTCCACATCTTCACTGTCCTCCTCTGTATACGGGGTAACTTTCTTGGTGGTGTCTTCATCTGTGATCACAGCATCGAAAGTTGTCCCAAGGGTCGTTTTTAACTTGGGGATTTCCACAGATGGTTGAGTATTGATGGAGTCTTCTGAAAAAGAGAACAGTGGAGTTTCTTCTTTAACATTAGTGCCACTTTCTGGATGGTTTTCCACGTCTACACTCTCCTCCTCTTCTTCATAAGGGGTAATTTTCTCGGTGATTTCTTCATCGGTGACGATGGCATCAAAAGTTGAACCAATGGTAGTTTTCAACTCAGGGATTTGAACTCCTTCAGAAGATGAGACTGGTTCGCTTTCTGAAACAAAATCATCTTTGGGCACAGACTCCACTTCCGATTTTGCGGGTGTATCTTTGGTTTCACTCTTTTCTGACAAGTTTTCAGGGACAGACTCTGGTACATGTTTTTCCTTAACCTCTTCAGCTTCTGTAGCATCACGTGCAACTTCTGCATTGGACTCCATTGTGTTTTGTAAAGGTGTTTCAGCTGACTGATCAAGAACGGCTGAAGAGGCACTTTGATCATCAGGGGCTTTATGAAGCTCCTCCAAGTTATCATGATGCTCAGTTTGTTTTTCACTCTGAGCTACTTCTCCTGTTTCTATTGCTTCTGCTGCTTGGACTTGGTAAGATGTTTTGTTGTTTTCGCTATCATTCTCCCCTGCTGACAAGCCAAGGAGCAAATCTACATCATAATTATCAAACTTGTCAAATCCAGTGTCAAAACAGACAAAATCTGTTTCCTGAGAAGAGATAAAAAAAAATAAATTAAAAATTACATCTTACTATCTGTGGTATCCACAAGTGGATTATCTTCTTATATATTTCCATACCTCAGCTGGAACTTCATATTCGTTATCAGTATAAATGTGGTTAACTGCCAGAAGGTCTTTTGGGAAATAGCCAAAGTGGCTTCCAACCTATTGCGAGAGAACATGTTCAGGATTTTAACTACACAAATTAAATCCAGAGCTCAATAAATATGTGCTATAGTATACTTACACTTCCGGCCCATATGTCAGGTCTTCTTCCTGACAGCTTGTAATATACATAGATGGTTTCAGATTTCTTGAAAGACAAGAACCGACAATCAGGTCCTGAGAAATCATTCACAGCTTTCCCCCGACACAGCAGCACTGAAAAAAACAAAACAAAAAACAAAGGGTAAGAATGACTTATTCAAAGATTTTATTTGTTTTGGGTGGCTGGCCTCTCCCTTAGAGATAGGGTGAGAAGTTCGGCCATCCGGGAGGGGCTCAGAGTAGAGCAGCTGCTGCTCCACATCGAAAGGAGCCAGCTGAGGTGGTTCGGGCATCTGACAAGGATGCCCCCTGGGCGCCTCCTGGGTGAGGTGTTCCAGGCATGTCCCACCAGGAGGAGGCCCCGGGGCAGACCCAGGACACGCTGGAGAGATTATATCTCTCGGCTTGCCTGGGAACGCCTTGGTATTCCCCCGGATAAGCTGGAGGAGGTGGCTGGGGAGAGGGAGGTCTGGGCCTCTTTGCTTAGGCTGCTGCCCCCGCGACCCGGCCCCGGACAAAGCGGATGAAAATGGATGGATGGATATTTGTTTTGGGCTTAGTTCAAGTCACCTCACACCAAGAAGCTGAGTTTGAATCCACTGCAGGCTAAGGCCGCTGTGTGGTGCTTTCATATTGTCCGGTGAGTTTTCTAGAAACTACTTCCTGATGACAGAAACCCCCAGGTTTATTTGCATCGCAGGCTAGAATCGAATCAGCAATCTTTTGCTTGACAAGCCAACATGTAAAGCACTTGGTGATTCTATATTGGCCATAAGTGTGAATGGTTCGTCAGGCCTCCGATAGACCATCTGGAATGGACTGCACCCCAAATATGACCCTGAATTGGATATGCAGAAGAAACTGGGTGGATGGGTTCTTGGATGCACCAGATGTAAAACATCGGGCTAAAGCTGATGTTTATACAAAGCATTCGACCCTTAGCTGAAACCAGTAATTTTGGTTTGTTGTCATTTCCTACAGCCTGTTGTGTCAGAGAAACAAAGACATCTTAACATAAACAATAACTAATACTTACAGCTGAATGTGCATATCAGTCAACAAGAGGGATGATAGCATACATGGTCAGTAATTCTTGTACTTATCTGTCGGCAGTTTTCTTCTGTTATGTTGTTAGGTATTTATTCCACACATCTCACTGGACAACTACATTTTAACTACAACATACTTAACTGATGTAAAGCTAAATAACAGAAATGTATGCTGCCACTTTAACAACACGTGCATTAGAAAAATAAGCCCAAAACTGATGCACAAAAAGCAGAAAAGGTGAAGCTTTAACTATGATTCAAGTATTAGCTACTAACCACTGTCTTAAATTTTGTATTTCACTCAGACTTATTTCTGAGTGGCTGAGTTTCAGCTCTGACTTGTGTTTTATGAGTTACAGTGTGTGATATTTACTGTTTTATGAGTCAAAATTAGCTCCCCCTGATGATAAGTCAACAATAAAAATACGTTCTTATCACCTATAGATGACTTTGCGGTTGTGGTTAACAATTGCTAAATGAATATTCTGTATTGTAAGTAAAACTGCTGCGTGTCCTTTATTAAGTCTTGCACTGAATGTAGAGGTTAAGAGTCAGGAGGCAGGGGAAAAATGTAAACTTTGCTAGCTAGAAGCGTTACAGAAGCATATTGATTTGTGGCAAAGCAGCCCAATCCCACAAATCCACATGAGAGTGAGGCAAATGTGGCTGAACACTATAAACACCCTGGCTTTAACTTCACCTATCACCTTTACCCCGAACATTAGCAGAGCGAGCCGGCCGGTGGCTAATTAGCTGCTAACCTTAGCTTCCACTATCCGGGAGCGAGGCAGGCCGAAGCTGACAGGCACCCAGCCAACATGGGCTGCATCGAAACCAGTAATCCTACCCAGCCAAATGATTAATGTTAATGTTTGCTTGTCCTGTTTTCACTGGGCATCACACAGGTAAACAGCATCACAACAATTGCAAGAGGAGATCAAGGTCGCAAATATCGACCGGCAACAGGTCAAGAGATAACGGCAGTTTATGGCTGTAGTATCGGGATGGTGCGAAGACGCATCAGAGAAGCCCCCCTGAGATAATAGTTGGAAAGCCAGCGGACTTACTGCTGCACTCCTTATCGGCGCATCTCTTAATGTCGGAGAACCTTCTCTCCAGGGCTGCGGCTGACATAAAGTTAAATAAAAGTAATAAAAAGCCCTGTCGGTAAACGTGTTTTGCTGCCATGCTGGCAGTTTCTGTTGACTGGATTGACTCCGCTGCTGCTGCTGGAGCATGAGCACTGGGCAGCAGGAGCCGACACGTCAGCACAGCAGATCCGGCTGGGTGTAGGCTCAGGATCGCTTTTCACAGGATGCATGATTGGATGTGTCTGCTTCATGTGGCCGTGGTGGGGGAAAAAAACAACACCAAAAAAAAAAAGAAAAGAAAAGAAAAAATGAAGCAGATGCAGTCATAAATGAGGCTTATCATTTAGTCTAGTGCATGTGCAAAAGGGTTTCCTTATCATGCATACTTGACTATTGGGCATATTTGACTACTACAGTGGAAAGACAACCAAAATGGTATATGAATAACTAATGCATAAATGCTTTTGATTTATCGTTTAGCACGAAATGACCGTCATAAAAAGTTAACTGATGTGTCTCAGTTAACTTTGCATATGTGCGCTTAGGAGCAGTATCTGTGCCGTGATTAATGAGGATGATCCTGCATTGCAGTTGTGCTTTACACTTTATTGCCGGCTGGGAAAATCATGTACATCACTGCTTTGTATATGCTGAATATCTCTGTAGTAGTTTTCTTTTTTTTAAATATACAAATATATCTGCTGTGGATTGCTCCTTCATATTGGTGTCTTGATAACTTGCCCTCATCTTACTATCTTAATGGATTCCATTGTTTGCCTTTGGCAGGGATGTTTCCAAGATCTTTTAAATAGGCTGGCACAGAGAGGGTAAAAAACAAAGGCGGTGTTGCCCATTGGAAATCTATTATTTGAAAAGAAATAAATAAATAGAGTGGAGAGAACACTGGGCATGATTTTCAGGCTCATGTGAATCCCTCTGCCCTCATAAAAATGGCATCTTATTATATTTTTATTATGAGCATTTATTTAACCGATGATGGAAATTAATGAGATTAACAGCAAACCTATGCAATGACAGGGAGAAGATGTAAACACCACACAAAAGAGCCCTGCCAGGTTTTTAGTAGCACTAACCACTGAGCCTCTTTGCTGATGAAAAGTGGCACTACACAAGATCCTGATAATTGTTTTCTACTAAGTAACTATTCTGAAAAGAGGTAAAAGAAAAATTTAGACCCCGTATAATATAGTTATAATACTACCCTTATGGGTTGCCATAGTGGCTCATCTGGCTCCATCTAATCCTGTCCCTTACATCCTCCTCTGTCACCCTTTGCATGTCCTCCCTCACTACATTCACTTGTCACTCACTACATCACTTGTCCAGCATATCTGCCCCTCCTCTGCACATGTCCAAACCATCTCAACCTTGTCCCTTTAACTTTGTCTAGAGTCTCCCAATGAAATATGAACATTTTCAACTCTGCAACCTTCAGCTCTGCCTCCTGTCTTTTTGTCAGGACCAACATCTCCTAACCATACATCATAGCAGATCTCACTAACATATTCTAAACCTGCCGTTTTACTCTTGCTGCTATCCTTCTGAGTGAAAGATAATAAGGAACTAAATCTTTAAAATAAATGGTGTGGAGTAAAAAGTTCAGTATTTCATAGCTAAATATTTTTGGAGTAATGGTAAAAAAAAACAAACAAACAAAAATAAACAAAAAAAACCGTGAATAACATGAGCTATGTAAAAAGTGACAAAATAATGTATTTTATACACTGCCAATGTTTAATATAAATAAAAGCGTAGAGAAAGTAAAGTGGAGAGGGTAAACAATGCTGATTTGTGTCTAGGGTTTCTTATCCTTGTTTTTCCTATTTTTTTCTTGAACGCAGCATTTTATAGAAACACAAAAGCGGAAATATCTGTAAACAGGAGTCATTTTTGTAAGGTTTCTTCGCTTCAATTCAGAGGAGGAAGGAGAAAAGTATTTGCCCCGCCCTTTCCGGGTACAGCAGCCAATGGCAGCGTAGCTTCCTACTGTACTTCCTTAGGTACTAAAGCATGGCGGTCAAAAACAATGTGTGGAAGTCACAGTAATCAACAGCATAGCAATCCGTTGCATTATATTAATTTTCAAGATTAACAACAGCAATGCTCGTTGGATAGGACGTTAGCTCTCTGATGCAGGTAGCTGTTAACATCGGTACGGAGGATAAACAATTTTCTCCAGAAAAGTCTGAGCAAACTTAAAACTGGTGGGTAAGTCAGAAGAAAACAGACCGTTTCTTTGTTGCTTTTGTGGAAAAATGTTCATTTCTTGATATCTTAAAACTTAAAGTTGTAGTTTTTCGCTGGCCTCTAAATAAGCCGTTGTGAAGAAAGCTAGTGAGTTAGCATCAAATACAGCTGCAAAGAATAGCTCTGCACTAACAAGACTGTAATAACACTGGTATATCCCATGTGTAGATGTCCAAAGTTTTATCAATTGCACATTGCCAACTCTAGTATAAAGTGACCAATTATATTATGAAAGCTTTTTAAGCGGTCTTGCTCTAATACACATCACTGAACTATTGGCAAGCACACCTGTTTAAATGCAGTACTGTGCAAATATTTCAGCCTCTACTAAGTATTGAATACTTTTATTTTGTCCGTTACCTTCTCAGGAAGTTAATACCCAGACACAAGTAAAGTCCTAAAGTGAGTGTTTTTGTCTTTAAAACAGCAGTAATGCTTCTATTTTCTCATACCCAACGTTTTTAAGCTACTGGGTAGGTTGTTCCAAACATTTCTATAGTGGATTCAAGCTGCCTGATTTGATCTTGTGTCTGTATGCAAGCCGAGATTGACTGCTTTTTTTTCTTTTTTTCAAAAATGACTCTGGCAATATACAGTGCTTAACAAATTTATTAGGGTTTATGCCACAGCCACCCTAAATGATATTTATTTTCTGATTAAGATGTCAAATTACAGTTATTACTACTTCTGTTTACTTCCTAACCAGAAGAAAATAGCTCAGCTCAACTTTGGGTATACAAAGTGAATTCAGCTTGTTATTTGACTAATAAATAACAAATGTACTTTTTAGTTTAAACAAGTTTTTGATAATTTCTAACATTTTTTTTCTCTCTCTTTTTTTTTTTTTACAACATAATTAATTAAGCACTGCATGTTTGGAGTAATTATCATGTTGCACAATAAATTTGGGAGCCATCAGATACCTTTCTGTATGTGGATGAGAATCCAAAGTATCTAAGATTTTTGCATGATATGATTTGGTGTAGCGTTGTGCAGGCAAAATACTAACCCCAAGTTGCTCTCCGGTGCATCCATCAGCGTATGAATGCTTGTGAAGTTTAGATAGAAAGCACTTACAGGGAAAGACCATAGAAAAAGTGTTTGTGTGAATGGGTGAATGAGGCAAGTTGTGTAAAGCATTTTGAGTGCTCAGATAGAGTAGTAGTGCTATGTAAGAACCAGTTCATTTACCATTTTGATAGACAATTTTTAGTGCAGTAGCACTGTGGTGTAATTGGAATTTGTTGTCATGCATATCTTTAAATAAGTTTTCATGAAACAGTGACACTAATGGTGCCTGTTTTTGATTGCTTTGTCTTATATAATAATACGTACCTTTTAAAAAGGAAGAAAAATACATTTATGTATTTGTTACTAATTTTCTTCTTGCAGATGAGCCGGTTAAAGTATCCTGACTGAGTCTAACTGCTGTGCTGATTATGGATGACTTAGAAAGAGAGCTGGAGCCTCACATTGACTTAGAGAATGACTCTGACTCCTCAGAGGACAACTCTTCAAAAGGAGAGAAGAAATCAAAGTTCCCTCTGGTTAAACCCATTTATGGAGGTGGGTTGTACAGAATTTCCATAAATAAATTTTTCTGTTAGACAGCAGAGGACATATTAGATGCAAGACTTATTGCTCACTGATCAATGTATGGTACACTGTTTGCCGGCTTCTACATAGTCCTGGATTTTACATTATAGAAAAGTTTAGTCAGCGGTAATTAAGAAATAATTTCTTCACTTTAATGTGAAATACAAATATTTTATTTCTTTATTAAAACAAATTTAAAAGGTATCAAAAATGTTTCTATCAGCCTCACAAATCCAATGTTGTCTGAGGTTTGGAACTCATACCTTTCATCTTCAGATCAGACTCAACAGAATGGGTTTCGCCGGACCACCAGCATGTGTCGGGAGCGCATCAGAGAAGCCATGCTGCACCACAGATGGGAGGAGGCAGCAGAATATATGGTGTACTACCCCCAAATTTTAGAAGACAGAAATCTTTTCACAGCGCAGCCATCTAAGGAGGTAGATTTTATTAGAATTAATAAAGACTTGTTTAAACACTCAGCTTTAAACACTGCATTCATTTTCATCCTTGACCTTAATGCTCTCTTTGAAATTTCAGTTTATTTGGAGAACTGCCACTGAGATCTTTCACCATCATCCCAACTCAACAATGGAAGATTACAACACCATCTATGAGCGAATGAAGCATTCGGGATTTAGACATTACCTAATGGTACTTCAACTAATAAAAGTGGCCGCAGTGTAGTTTTCATGTGAATCTGCATATTTTTTTTTTCTTATGAGGTGTTGTCATTTTGTGTTTCTAGATTTCTCTGGAACATTCCTTTCACCTCCTGCTCCACCAGCAGATTGAAGATGCAAAGCGGCATCTTGCTAGCGCTGAGAGTTGGAGGCACGGGAAAGAGACAGCAGCTCAGATTCAGAATATTAAACTGATCCAGGCGTACAGGGGCCTGCTGGATTATATCATCTGGTGTGACAAAAAGTCCACACGCTCCAGCAGCGGTAAGGCAACGTGCAGCATAACAGCCCAGAACATGCATTATTTAGGTTTCTCAGTAAGATGCGTGTAGGAGGCTCGTGTGAAGTCACACTGCCACCTACAGGTCAGACATGGGAACTGCGTGTTTGACAGAGCAGTTTAAATTCATTATGTTGGGGAAAAATGTGTTTGTGTGTGAAAACCTGTCTGTCTGGGCTCACATCTTTGATGTTTGGTGCTCTCTTTTTCAGATTATTATGAATCTGATTCCAATCAAACCATGCAAAACTACTTCAGGCAAGCGTCAGTGAATCTTGAGGAGATTTTGAAAAATCCAGGCGTCTGGGATTGTTTCATACTGAGATATGTTGAGGTAAACACTCATTCCTTCCTT